AGCCTCGAGCCCAGTTTAAAATGGAGAGTTCTGGAATAATCAGTGTTTATTCATCAATCCACCGGCGTCCTCCAATCAGCGTCTCTTGAATGTAAGGGGATTCCTCTGGGATGTGTAGACCGCTCAGGCCCTAATTCCTCGGACCTGTTGAGAAGGAGACATGTTTATCTCTTGCTGGGTTGCTGTCAAAACAGAATGGGTGTATTTCTATCAGTGAAACACTGCTCTGACAATTTGTCCCTGGAGAGAAATGGCGTTTTCCATAGAGGCTTTAAATAGGAGCCATAATGGGAGTGAATGGAACGGAGTTGAATAATTAGATCGTTCTCCATAAATCCTGCCGTGAAGTCATCCACACAGGACCATTTCCAGGGCTGTATGTTAGCACACAGCTGTATGTGGTGTGGACACAGCTGTGTTCTGTGAGGGATGATAGGTAAGTAAATCACAGATGATTGAGACACGGAGGGAACTTAACTCCGTGTTTTCCCTGTAGAATTTCTCTCCTTTGCCGAAGGAACACCCATATTAATTTGTTTTTATGGCTACAAATATGGTACTTACATATTTGTATGGTAGTAGCAGGAGCCGTCTTCACTTACTTGGTTTGAATTCCATTTTTATTTATTTATTTATTTATTTTTCCTTGCGTTATGTGGGCCTCCCACTGTCGTGGCCTCTCCCATCTGCGGAGCACAGGCTCCGGACGCGCAGGCCCAGCGGCCACGGCTCACGGGCCCAGCCCGTGCCCAGCGGCACGCGGGATCCTCCCGAAACGGGGCACGAACCCGCGCCCCCTGCATCGGCAGGCGGACTCCCAAGCACTGCGCCACCAGGGAAGCCCCTGAATTCCATTTTTAAATGTAAATATATCAGATGCATCTTGTTTATGACAGGTGGGAATAAGAAACACCCCATTAAGACAGGAAAAACAGGTGTTTCTGGTCAGTTTGAACGACGTCTCCTTGAGGTGTGTTAGCTGGAGTACAAGAGGGGTTAAAGATATCTCATGCCTCCCATTTGTGCGTTTGTCGACCTTCTAAAATAATGGAGACGGTTCTATATGTGTATACTACTCTACTGGATTTGGAGTTCCCTCAGGGCAAGGCCATGTTTTAGTTCCTGTTCTATCCAGAGCACCTAACAGTTCACGGCAGATAATAAGGCAAAAGAGCAGGGCTTTTAAAGTAAGTGCCATTTTTTTTTAACCCCAGAGAGACGCTCCCTTGAGCCTTTTATGTATAGTAGGCTTTTGTACGATCCAGCCTCGCAGATGGCTGCTGTCTTGTTCTCCTGCTTCACCTACACTCTACTCACGTGACTCACCTTCCTCCACACTTGCCCCACCCGAGCTAGTGATTGTTCTAATCCTTAGATCAGAACATCTCCACCTATTAGCTTATCAAAAGGGCAGGGAGGGGCCTCGCGTCCCGCTGCTAGTTTCCCTGGTAACTGATGGGCCCACCTGATGTCAATTCCCTTTATAACCAGTAACCTCGCCTGCCCCCCCCCCCCCCCCGG